ATACACTGTGTAATTCAATATTCGCGTAAATTCAGTTAAGACTCTCGTGAGACATTTCGTTTGTTCACACCTATCTAGTGTACAGTCGTAGCCTGTAGTTATAACATGTAACACCCCGAATTCAGGAGGTCTAGAAAGGAAAGAAAACCTCAAATTAAGGAAGGGACTCGTCGAGTAGATGGAGTGACTCGACGAGTAGGAGCGCGGATAGGGTCGCGAGTTAAGTGACCTACTCGATGAGTCAGAGGACTGACTCGGCGAGTTGGCCAGGTTTGGGGAAAACCCTAAATGCGGGTCTTGTACCCTATTTAAAGAACATTATAACCTCTCATCAGCCTCCTTGATACTCTCTCAAGTCCAGAAACGAAACCCTATCCACCCAACTCCATTCTTGAGCATTGTGAAGCTAAAAGTTGTATTGGTGCTGCACTCCTTGGAAGATTGGAAGCAAGGCACGAGGAGGAGAGTTTAGATCCAGCATCATCATCCCATTTCCATCCTTTTCTGGTAATAAAGTCTCCATCTTGGTTTATAGTCTCTTAGATCTCTTTATGTCCACTTTATGAGAGTTTTGGTTCATGGAGCTTGATATATGGGACAAGGACGTCCCAAGCAAAAATCTTTTCAGATCTGGTGTCCCTAAGAATGGTTAAGGCATAAAGGTGCAAGCTTTATGCCATTAGAAACCCTCATGCAAAGTTTAAGTGGTTATTATGGCCTTTTGAGCAAAAAGGGCCATGCAAGGGTGCAAAGGTAGGAGCTTTGTGTGATATCCCGACCCTAGGAGGCCAGATCTGGGTCTTGGATGCCTTGAGCTTGTCTGAAATCGTCTGATTAGTGTTGTACATAGAGATACTCGGCGAGTCAGTTGTGGCACTCGGCGAGTCTGACCAGTTCTTGCCCCAAAACCCTTTTGTTAAGGGTATGAGTTGAGATTGGAAAGGGACTCAGCCAATCTGAGTCCATAATGGTCATGAAGTTCATCGTACTCGACGAGTTCAAGGAAGAACTCGGCGAGTCTAAAGCAATCTCCTTAGTTATGAAGATGGACTCGACGAGTTGCTCATACAACTCGGCGAGTCCACAACAAACTAGACACATTCATTGGGGATGATGAACTCAACGAGTTCAAGGATGAACTCGGCGAGTCGGTTGAAGATGGTCCCAATAGATGGTTGAAGGAGGACCCGTCGAGTTCTTGCTAGACTCGACGAGTTGAGTCGAGGGATGTATTGGGTTGTAGGGGTATGGACTCGACGAGTTGGTAGACCAACTCGGCGAGTCAGATCAACTGGATGTTGACTTTGACCGTTGACTTTGACTTTGACTAGAGTTGACTTGGTTTGACTTCTGGAGGACATTTTGGGACTAAGTGTTATGTTGGTATTGGTAGCTCGGGGAGCTGGAGGAGCAGCAAGTTCGGGAGTTGTCAGATAGCTGTCAGAAGTGTATCAGCAAGAACTTCAGCAGTGCAAGGTGAGTTTTCCCTCTGTGTGAATGGGTCTAAGGCCACAA